TTTTTTTATCAAATAAAATTACCGATTCGGTGTTGTTGACAAATCTTTATTATTTGATACTGTTGTTTGTGGTTGTATAAATGAACCGAATTGTTGAAAAAGCATTTGTGCTGTCCATGATGAATTCGAATTATTTAAACCATTATTTGTTGAAAGAAATGATGATGATGGATGTAAATTATTTCCATTTTCATCAATTTTCCCATTGGTTGCTGCTAATAAATTAATTGTTGATGGTTGTGGAAGAATTTGTTCATTTGGCGTAAGATCTTCATCAGATATATCTGAATATGCTGGTGAAGATGATATCGGTGGTGGTGATGTTGGAATTTTTGTATTTATAATATTTTGTTCTTTTTTTACTTTTATATCAGGATAAGAATTTTTATTCACATTTACTTCATCTTGTATATGTAATAGAAAATGATCAGCTTGTTTAACGGAAGTTTTTAAATCATCTTGATCAATTCTATTTTGATTATCGACTATAGTTGTTTCATTATTATTTAATTTACATCTACAAAAAAAAAAAATTCTTTTGATTGATTCATTCATTTATGATTACAAGCAGACCTTGTAGAATTTGGTGATAAACTTCGTTCAGTATTATTTAATGATGATGGTAGAACAAGTTTCGATGATATTTGTGGACATGGCCAAGATAATGATGAATTTTCTATTGTTTTTAAATTTGATGATGATATATGATGTTCAGGAGAAGAACGTTTTGATGATGGTGGTGATGAACGACGTACATAATCAGCAACATTAGCAAGAATATGTGCAACATCTTCTTCATCACGTGTATTTGCTTGTGGAATAGTAGGCGGTATTACATCAGTCTTTTTATGTGCATCACTTAAATGATAACTAAGTGCTATATTTGAAGCAAAACGTTTATGACAATGAGATTCTGAACATGAGATTAATTGTGGTTCGAGATTCGATGATATATTCGTCGTTGTTGATTCTGATGAAAAAAATGTCTGTTGATTATTTGTTCGATATGGTGATGTTAATGGTGATGAATTATTAATTGTTTCATCATTTATTGATGTTGAAATATTATTTAAACGTTTTGATTGTCGAGATTTAATATTATTACGAAGTTTACGATCATCAAGTCCGATTGAAAGATTATTTGATGATATTTGTTGAGTTAATGATACTAATTGCTGTTGTTGTTGTTGTAGTTGTGGTTGTTGATTTGAGCATCGAGTGTTACCACCGGCACCACCCGTACGTTTTGTTCGACTAGTTTTACTACTACTACGAGCATCATAATCACTTGTTGGTGATTCACATGTTAATCTAATTTATTTAAAGAGAAAAGAAAACGTTTTTTTTTTTCTTTTGTATTTTTACTTTTACCTCGGGCAAGCCCAATCTTGTTTAGTTGAATCGAGTAATGTGCCAACATAAGTTTTTCCTCGCCATGTTACATTAACAACGAGTACACCTGAAAAATACAATTTATAATTCCGTTATTAACAAGGTTAAATCTTAAGGCATATACATATATAAATAAGTGTAAAATAACTAATAAAGCAAAAGAAAAGGTGTTTCATTTTTTTTCCCTTCGTTCTTCTTTTTCACAAGTATTACCGATGAATAATTAATTTCATATTTAATATATACCACTATTAGTTAGGTGAAAAAATACAAATGACTTCATGCATATCATCGAAAAAAAACAACAACAATTTCTGTTCATTATCATAGTAAAAATACACACAAATAATATATTCTGTTCTTTGTTTAATAATAATAAACTTCAGTAGTTCTATTCTGTTATAATTATTAATATTAACAAAAAAAAAAAAAGCGAACGTCAACATCTGTTTGGTTTGATTATTTATAGTAGATGTGTCATCACCTAAGCGCTCATGGATGTCATTAATATTATACCGTACTACTAGGCTTTTTTTTATTTGATTACTATTATTGCTTACCGCTGTCGGTTTCATTCCAAACGATGCCCTCCAAAACGACGCTTGTACCCTGACAGAAAAGAAAAGAAAAGAAAAAAAAAGGAATATATTATTGAGAGGAAATGAGATTTAACGAAAAACAACATACGGGCTCACAAGGACCGAGATGATCAGGTTCAGTTGCCAAACCAATAGAGACTGTTTCGACACAGGCATCTACTTTGCTTGAAGACGAATGCTTAATAAAACAAGCAAAAGAAACATATAATAATAACGTTTTCTTCTTAATATATATATAAGATCAATTTCATCAGCAGTGGCTGAGTAAATAAAAAAGAAAAGGAAAGAAAAATGCGGAATGAAAATAACTATTGTGAAATCTCGAAGAATGAAATTAACAACTTAACTTACATTAGAATCATCTCGTTTGAAACGTTTTGTTCCAGAAATATCATCAATATTTCCAGTTAAATCATTATTATTATTATCAATTGTTACAGAACGTTTTGTTGCTTGTTGTTGTTGTTGTTGTTTACCATTAAATGCAGGTGATGATGGTCGACGTGTAGCTGTTGTATTCGTTAGAGAAGTACGTTTCAAACGTTGAGTATTCGGTGTCGAACGAGAATTATTATCCTCCTCCGACATATGTGATGAAGTAGAAATAGAATTATTTTGTTGTTGTTTTGTTGTATGCCGCTTGATTTTAAGTACGAGCGGTGATGACGACGAACTATTGTTCATGTCATTTTCATTTGATATTTGAGATTGTTGCTGTTGTTGGGATTTCGATGATGTTATTGTTGTCGGACGTTGTTCGATGAGAAGATTCATTGTGTGATGACGATGACGAGGCGGCTCATGCTGTTGCCTTACTTGGTCTTTGTATGTGTATGTGTGTGTGTGTATGTGTTTGTTGGGTGGTCCTATAACCGGGCAGAGTGAGAGAGAGAACAATAACAAAAGCACAGACACACACAGAGAGAGAGAAAGATGAAGAAGAGGAAAATAATGCACGTATTGGCAATTAAGGACGAGCTTGGATTAGAAGAAGACGAAGAAGAACAAGAAAGTCATATTGTGGACTGCTGCTGTTGCTGCTACGATTTATTCCCTTTCCTTCTTTTTTCTTCTTTCTGTCGACGGGTCAGTCTATTTCACATTTGTGAAGAACAAAGAAAATATTAACATGACGAGAAGAATAAGAAAGGACCGTTTGTCGTTCTGCACACACACACACATACTCTCTCTCTCTTCAGGGCTACATTTGCTTACAGAGAGTGATGATCGTCGTCGTGTCGGTTTTTTCTTTTTTTTGTTTCTTCTTTTTCCTATTCTTTTTCGTCTCCAGAGAAATGAATGTGCCGATGTATAGGGGGATATATTTTTCTTCTTCTTTCCTATCGTTCGTTCGTTCGATCTCGTCCGAAGAGAAAAAAAAAAAGAAAAAAGGAAAAAAAAAATGTGGGCTCTCTCACTCGTCTTTCTGATGTCTATCTTATATGTGCATACACTCGCGCGTTTATGTTATTGAAGGAGTTTTGGCCGGGCACACGTTCTTTGCTCGTTCGTTTGCTCGCGCTTTCTTTCTATATATTTCTAGCTAACACGCAAATGGATTCGAGGTCTACATATGCCATTGCTCTTGCTCTCTTCCGCTTCTTCATCTACTCATTTCCATCTCATCACCGTCATTGTCGACAAGCTGCATCGGATTATGACGGGAAATTCGTAACTATATACTAACTACGATAAGCTCATGTCTATGTCTATGCATGTGATCAAAGAAACATTCAAATTTCTTCTTTTCTTATTCTCTCTTTCTTTTTTTTGAAGAGATTCTCAAAACGTATTGAAAGAAGCCTTGTTTTTAATTGACATCTCGATTTCTTTCATTTCAATGGTGCAACCTGGTCAATATCGAAAAAAAACCTAAATCTGATATTGCTTCCGATCTTGTCGTTGTCACAATCAGTATATATATATATATGTATATATATATATAGGTACTATGTAAATATGTCTATTAGTCGCCGCAGCGACAGCTTGTATGCCGATAATGATGTTTTCGAAACTATATGCTTGTATACATAAAGAGAAAAGAGAAGTGATAGTTTCTATTTATATAACCTTTTCTCTTAGACAAGCTATTTGACAGATGAACTTCACATCAATTTTGTTGTCCTCATAATCGTACTTGACAGTATGGAAGCAATATTATATGTATATATACGTATCGAATTGCTTGGTCTCTCATACAAATCGATGTATGATTTTAATGTGAATATATACGTGTGCGATGATTGTTTGTCACTATTCAATGTAACATTGATCATAATCGAAAAAAAATGTGAAGAACGGAAATTGCATAATGTCAAGAAAATTTCCTATTATGAACAAGCACGCACACCTCATTGACAAAAGAGGTTGGATAATACGATTGACTTGACTTGCTTGACAGAAGATTAAAAAGAAAAAAAAGAAAACTCTATCCACTTGCATTAATAATGATGTCATCATCAATATTCAAAATATTAAAAAAACCTCTGATTCATCATGATTCTTTTTTCTTCGTTATTCACATGACAGAAGAAAATGATTTTAAGTGAGCCAATTGAAGGCTACATACACATTCCTCCTTGTCGTTAACATATATACATACACACACATATATATATTCTTTTTTTTTCTTGTTTTTTCTTATTGTTTGCTTGATGATTATACAGAAATAATAATAGTAGTAGTACTAGTTATAGTAGCAAAGAAAGGAAGAAAAAAAGAAAGAAAGAAAGAAAGAAAGAATAAATTTACACAAAGGTTATAGGTTTCTTTCTTTGCGAACATAGAACATCCGACTAGAATAGATAAACTGAACGAAAGCATATATACAACAACGATAACAAGAACAACAAACAAACGAAAAAAAGAGGAACCAATTTTTACTAGACATCAGAGCACCTTGTCACATATGTTATAAAGAGAAAAAAAGAAGAAAAAAAAAAGCAAAAAAAAAAAAGAACACACATACACACAGACATAAGTAACTAAGTATCTGATCAAACACACAAGCTAGCGTGACGATTTAGATAAAGAAGATGAAGGAGAAGAACAGGCAGATGGAAAACGGGGAGCTGTCAATGGATTAAAATAAAGTTGTGGAGGTATCGATAAATAAGATGAAGGTGAAATAGCGGATGGCGATGATGATGATGGTGATAGTTTATTTTTGTTATTATTGCTGTGTAATGATGATGATGTTGGTGAGTGATGATGTGGATGAAATGGCGATAAACCAAATGGATTTGGCGGTCCATGTAAAAACGACGGTGGCGGTGGAGGATAATAACCGGATGGATTAGCCGGTGGTGAAAAAAGCATTCCATTACTAAATGGATGTGGTGATAGTAATGACGGTGGTGCTGATAATGTTTCTTTTGTTTTTGATTTTGATGTTTTAGTTGTAAATGATGATAAAAATGAAGGCGTTACTGCTGATGATAAAGATTTTGATGATGATGGTGTTTGAATAATTGAGTTATAAGATGATAATGAATTTTCTTCAATTTTGATTGTCGTTCTTGAATTTGATAAATCAATAGGTATCGATGATGATGTTGATGTTGGTTGAGGTTGTTGTTGATGTTGATGTTGTTCAATATTATTTGTTGTTGATGGTAATATAGTTTTATCTTGTATTAATGGTGGTGGACTTGACGATGTTGTACTTGCACCACTTGTTGTTGGACTAACACTTCGACTTGAACAATTATCACCTGTTTCATCATCAACACCATTTCTAACAAGAGTTTTTTCACCTGATATGGAATTTGTATCATCTTCATCATTAATACTTGTTGATGATGATGATGGTGCACCCAAACAATTATCAATAAGTTTTTCTGTTGCCAATATTTCATCTGTTCTTGTTGGTGGTGCTTCAGGTATTTTAAATGAATTTGTTTTTGTTGTTGGACTTGGTGTTACTGTTGTATATGTACCTCGACGTTTACCATTACGTAAAATTCTTTCAGCCGGTTCATTTGTTAATAAATCATTGTTTGATTGTAAATGAACCGATGAATGTGATGATGATGTTGTTGATGTTAATAAATAGTCACGATTATGATTATGATGATGATTATGACGATTATGTTTTGTTGTACGAACATCGGATTTATAACTTTAAGAAAAAAAAAATATCGATTATTTTTTATTTCATCTTTTTTCTTTTTCTTTTCATTTTTAAAGTGGTCTTTTCAAGTGAGACAAAGAGTGCGTTCGAGTAGGCTCTCATCGAACGTCCCATAAAGTGAGACTCTTGATGACATGCATATTTCTTTTTTTTTTCTCTTCTCTTCCTACTATTATTGATTAAAAAGGAATTGCCTTTAAGGCAATACTCTTACCGTGGTGGAGCCCAATTTTGTTCAGTTGTATTAAGCAATGCACCAACATAAGTCTTGCCTAAAGCATATTACATTTAATGAAACTTAACAAAACAAAAGATTGTATACATACCACGCCAAGTGATATTAACAACAAGAACACCTATAAAAGAAATGACACATTTTAAAATGAAATTAAAAACCAATAAAAAAATTTTTTTTTTTTTTTTATTTACCTTTATCTGTTTCATTCCAGACAATACCTTGTAAAACTACACTTGTACCTGGCTCACATGAACCAAATGATGATTCATCTGTTACAGATGATTGATCAACTGTTTTTGAATGTATTTGATGATGATCATTATCATTATTTGATGATTCATCATTTGTAATTGTATCAGTATTTGCTGATCGTTGTTTTTTCTTTGAAGAAAAAGAAAAAAAATGGATGAATGAATTAATTGACAGATTTACACATTTATTCTGTCTCTTTAAGATAAGTGTTGTATGACGATGACGATGAATAGCAGACAGACATAGGGACAGGACAAGGAAAAGAAGAAATAAAGCAGCTGCGCACACATACACACACACACATATATAGAGCGCGTATGTATGTAGGAGAGAAAAGTAAATAGGGCGAATGCACACAAGCATACACGCACACATCAAGATATCATTATCCCTCGAGGATGCCGCACGCGTGAAAGAGAAATAGAGATTGAATTTCCTTTCTGTCTTTCGCGCTTCAATTGTATTCTATATAATATGTATATATTTTTACCTTTTTCTTACTAACTGATTGTTGTTGTTGTTGTTTGTTAATATTATCATCAGTATTATTATCATTTGCATTCATCATATCATCAACAATATTTAGTTTACGTTTTCGTGATGATGATGATGATGACGATGATGATGATGATGATGATGATGTTTTCGTTGTTTTAACTTTAAATTCAACAGTTGTTGTTGTTGTTGTTGTCGTTAATAAAGTTGTATCATTTTCATTATCAATTGATGCTGATAATTGTTGTTTCATTGTTGTCATTGTATTATTACAATCAATAGATTTTTTTTGTATATGATTTTTTTTTTCATCAATTTTTTCTGGTGATATTGTATTTGTTAACAAATCTGTTTTAGTATTTCTTGGAATAGTTAAACGTAAACGTTTTGTAGAATCTGATTGCGCAGTTGTTGTTGTTGTTTGTGATGGTGGTGAAGAGTTGATCATCATCATATTAGATAAGAAATAAATGTCATCTAAAAAATATTGTAGACAAAACGTAAGCACAAAACACATGATAAGAGAGAAGAGAGAGAGAGACGCCTCTCGACACACACATACACAAAAGCAGCTGGACTTTTCATGCTGACTTGCATACACATATACACTGCAAATGATTGCCTTCGCTTTCTCTTCTCTCTCTCTCTCTCTCTCTGTCGCTCTCGCCGCCACTACTGCAAGAGAATAGCCACTTCACGCGCGCACACACATACACACTCTCCGCTCTCTTCTTTTCCTCTAACACAAACATAATTTATAGATCTACTCGCTCCTTGCTCTGTCTTTCTTTCTCCTACACGTATTTAACGCTTGTCGAACACTTGAGTGTGTACAATTACAGATTCGCTAGGACCTCTCGTTCATCATGTGATAACACACACACACGTATATTTATATGTATATAAATATATACATGTACGATGAACTCTCCCGCTCCTCCTTCTGTTCGTTCATACATACATACATTCATTCATTCATTCATTACTGCAATCAATGCTTGTAGACATATAACATAGGCAATAGAAAAGCAAAAGGGAAAGGGAGAACGAGAAGAGAAAGAAAAAAAAAATCATCAAACGACGCGAATGATTAGAATAACAATCGACATCAAGTGCGTGTGTACGACAGGAGACAGACGGCGGATGAACGATGGGGAATTCACTTAGCACGGAGGAGTGAACAAGCAAGAAAGAACACCCTCTTCTTTTCTCTGTCTCGATTAGCAAGCTCTGTTGCCAGAAGGCATAAAGTGACAGCTTCGATGCTAGTAGACATTTTAAACCATCGAACAAATATTGAATTTCAATCTTACTCTCTCTTCTATTGCCTATAGAGAACAATATGTATTGCTCTTCTCATTCTAAGCTTTGTGCTTATTAATGTGTGCGAAAGTATATACATATATATATATATATAAATGTCAACGAAATAGAACACAGCCTGCATATACAAATCAAGGTGAGATTGAAAAAGACGATTGATGGATGGCTAGATCGATGAGGTGTATAATGATTGTTGCCGCTTGTGCGACAAATTGTAAGTATATATATAAATATATATGTTCGTATATTTTATATATATATATATATGCGACGACAACAATATAGGCACCTAATGTCATCGATTGCATCACACAATTGAATGGATTAGCTTTAGTAGTTGTAGTACTAACGCCTCCCGTGATATTTCATTCTTTTGGTGTTGTGCGATTTTCGCATAGGCACGATAAATTGGTTGATTAAATATTGACTATACACACATTGATGGGAGAAAAAGAGAAAGAGATGGTGGCAGCATGACAACGAACACGAGAAGTCACTATGCCGCAGGGGGGTTTCTCTCGAACTCACCAACAAACATCATACATGCCGATGTTGTTGATCTTTTGATGTCGATGACACTCGCATACATACACGCACACGCTCGCACACTAATTACGACAGTCTTCCGCAGTAAACAAACTGCTCTCATTCCTTCACTCACTTATTCTATCGAACAATGACTAACACTACCCTTCCGCTCGACACAGCACACATACTGTTATTCTTCAAGTCATGCGCTTACACTCATTTATTCTTCCAATCTTAAATGACTTTTTATTATTATTATTGTCGAACAAAGAAACAAGAAAAGAAAAAGAAAAACAGAAGTAGACACGCGCACACACTCATACAATTATCATTGTCCGGCATCGATTATGCATATACATATATGTATATATAAATGAGTCTTATTGCATTCAAACATCAAATTATGCACAACGAATCGATTTTGAGTCTTTAGTCTGAATATGAAACATGCGCAAACAAGGCACAAGAAGCACTCCGGGGGTTTTGGATATGCTGCACATCGTGTAAAGAGAAAGAAGGAAAAAAAAACGACTATAACGATGTGTGGCGTGTACTACTACCCTTCACCGCGCTATAGCTGTTAGACAGAACAGAATCAACGAAAAGGAGGAAACGAGCGCGAGCGCACACATACACAAGCAAACACATTGCTCGAGAGGCGACGACGACGGAAAGGGCGAGGATCGAGATCAAAACCAACCGGGTAAAGACATAAAGAACAACGAATACGCTGACTAGAATAAGGCGGATAGTATGTTGTCAACAGACAGAAGATGATGATGCTGTTACTACTATCGCATCTACTCAAGGGAGAACTGCATCGTTTCACACTCGAAAGGCAATTGACACCTCTTATAAAGCGTACATTGATGACAGATGACATAGACGCATACGTGTTGAAAGAAAGACGAGAAGATTTAATTTAGTTGAACAACAAATTTTTTTTTTTTGATAGACGAGAACATACACATATATATATATATATGTAATTAGACAATAGGCAGCATCTGGCTCGAACAAAACTAGTCAATCTCTATATGTTTCCACCGAACAGTCATTACGTGCATGCCCTTTAACACGATTGACAGACAGGCACAAGGCGCAAGTATCTCTCGAGAGACATGATTCGAATATCAAAGAAATTAGTTATCGTTCGCTTTAGCCTTGGGGAAAGAGCTCTATGTATGCATATAGATATTTATATACATATATATATATACGCGTATACATGCTAACGTATCGAATGATGATGATGACGATGTATTAAAGAAGATTGTATGTGTATGATGTATTGCACAATCGTCTTTTTTTCTACGTTATGTTTGTACAACAGTATGTAGTAGTGCCTTTTATCGATGAAGAGAAAGAGAAAATATTGACTCAAGGAGAGACAAGACAAACAGGTGATAGAGAATAGTGGACTAAAAATTCAACAGCAACAATTAATTAGCGGTTACTATACACACGATATCTTGTCATCGTTGTCGTCCTCCTCTCATCTATTTTCTCTCAGTCACCCCTATCGTGTTACATCTACACAAACGAGAAAAAGGAGAAAGAGAAAGAGAAACACACACAGAGAGAGAGAGAGAGAGAGAGAGCAGAGCAATAGAGCGTTTGCTCGTCGTCGCTTTTATGACATGAAACGGAAAGAGAAAGAAAGAGAGAACTCCATTTATGTGGATAAACGAGGATTTGATGAAATATGAGCTCTGCGTGCATATGTGATGGGAAGAAGAAGAAACAGAAAGATGTGCTTTTCATTGCAATTAATCAAACGAGAACAGGCGAATGATGACGGCTGAACGAATAACGACCGACAACATACTACAAGCTTTATCCTGTTTTCTACACTTTTTCCTCTTGGGAAAGTGTAATAATATGTTAACTCATTAAGTTTAACAATTATAAAATGAAGGAAATGACGAAGAAAAAGAAAAGAAAAAGTAGAAAATGAGCTTCAATGTATGTTATGTGTCTATGTTTGAATGATGATGATCGACGGAAACGAGCACCGCAGTCAATGCTAATCTATAGCCTTACAGTATGTGTCTATTTACAAGTATGTGTGTGCGAGATAATATGATCTTTGCACACGAGAGTAAAAAGAAGAGAAAAAAAAATGAGAAGACAAAGTAAACTGCTCGTCACTGTCAAACAATTGAATCTGATCAAGAAGTGCAGCTCGCAACAACACACACATATATACAGTGTTCATGACGAGTAAAAGAGAAAAGAACGCACGAGAGCGCTCACTGGAAATGCAAAGTTAATTGCTACTGCTGTGTGTTACTGCTTTTCTGTTCTCTTTCTGATTCCCGAGAGAGTTGTTGTCTCTCCCTCTCTTTCTCTCTCTCTCCCTCTTTCTCGTCATCTAATAGAATATTTGATCATCGTCTATTTTCTAACGAAATGACACAAATCGAATAGGACTTGTTGTATAGTGACTAACTGTTACTAATCAATAGTATCGCAATCTATATTTTTTCTAACTTGCCCTCGAGTTAAATATGCAAACACACCTTTACATAGCGATTATAAAAAGCGCATTCAACTGTATTTGATTAGTAACTCTAATGATGAGAGCAACTGTAAACAGTAGTAGCAGTAACATACAACATAAAGAGGAAAAAAAGCGACTCGTCGTCCTCGTGATTGATCTTATCGTTTTGCATGCGGCGTGCAAAAGAGAAAGGAGAAAGTGAAGTATGGTTAAGAACGATGAGGGCCACCAAGAGAGAAGAAAAAAAGATAATCGGGCCAAAATATGCTCTTTCTTCGCTTACGTCAGTTTGAATGAACGACAGATGAACAGGTGAAGAAAACGATGATGACAATTAAACATCTATACATTTGAACAGAAAATGAAAACTACATAGACATATATGTATTATAGTTTCACTCCTACCGACCGAATGACTGCTGCCTGCGGCGATGACCAAGATGAAAATGATTAACATTCACTCAAATAATGAGTCAGTCTGTCGGCGTGTATATATGTGGCATGTGATGATGATGATGATGATGACAATGATGATGATGATGACGACACGCAATGGCAAAGCAAAAGAAACAGATAGATCACGTACATGACAATGACAAGAGAAAGAGAAAAGTGCACAATAAAAGCTAGTAAAGGCTTCTTATTTCAATGACTATTGTCGGTTCATAGAAGAAATCAACTTCTTCCTTCCGAGAGTTTGATATACGAAAAAAATACACAGTTCAATCAAGCCATGCAAATGTAAAAAACTACACATACATTTTCTTTTAAACGAGAAAAGAAAGCAAGCATTTTTTTTTTAATATTTTCTCTTTCTTTTGAAGACATACAAAAAAAATAAAAGAAAACAATAATAATCTCTTTTTGTTATTGTCTTTTACATTTTTACCTAAAATTTTTTTTTTTCTTCATTCATTCATTCATTCACTCATTCAAAACATATCCTAACAAGTGGAAGGAAGAAATGAAAATCACATGAATCAACACGCACATACAACATGATTACAGATGAAGCCGTCGCATCGTTGCTCGCCTATATACAGCATAGCTCTAAATTCAACACACACAATAACAACTAGCTAACGCATACTCACAGCAGTCAGAAAAAAAAAGAAAAAGAAATAGAAGAAAAAAAAATGCATGCCGATAATGAACCATTTTCAATCGCGCACAACCCACGAATGGAGGTCACGCAATGTACTACCCTCATGTGTAGTACTAAAGCAATGATGCTTTTCCGCCCTCTCAACAGATCAATAAATCAGATAGATTAGTCGTTCTTAGTTTCTTTTTTTTGTTCTTCTTCATTGTATACATAGAAAGAAACAACAAGCGAGATATAATCACTATATATAAATATCTTTTATATATATATATATATATATACATACACGGTTGGATTGTGTGATGTTAATCTTCTCTATTTTTCTAGAAATTTATTTGACATTATTCATGAAGAAAAGTGATAATTAAATATAGACGTGTCCTTTTTTTTTTCTTTAGAAAAGTCGTTTCGATAGAATACAAGAAACGCGACATGAGTGTTATTAACAAATCGGATAGAATAGAAATTATCATTTAAAGAAGATTAAATAATTGAATAAATAAAACTTCCACTTCAATTATTTCACATAAGAAGATATAGAAAATACAAAAAAAAGAAAAAAATTAAACAAGAATAGAAAAAAAAAAAAGAAGAAGAAGAAACTTATTTAGGGATTTTATGGAAATATTGTCTACGTTTGAATATTTCTTTATTTAATTATTTATTAACACAAAAAAAAATTGGTTTTCAATTCATTTGTTTACTCTGAAATTTGATATGAAACAAACTTCATACTGTAAATCTTATTTGTTCTTTTCTATCGAATGAAACAAGAGGAATTTTATCTCATTAATAAATTATTAACAGAAAAACAAAACACTTTTTTTTTCTTCATTTATCATATTTGATTGTTAGATTAATGTTTTTAAATTTGATTCTGATTGAACATCATGCATTTACAATAGTTCAACATCCGAGAATTACTAGTTAAGTATATATAATAAATCCGGAAATAGACCGAGAATCACGAGTTCGTTCATTTCCGGTTCGATCATTTCAACGAGCGAGACATTTCTTTTTTGCCTTAAGTCAAGTGTTGTAACTTGACTAACGAATAATTAATAATATGTGTCAACCGAAACCGGAGATCTCATCTTCAATCATTACCATAACTTGACTAAATTAGTCAATCATTTTAAAATTATTATATGGAATTATATGAATGAATAAATATGAGATATCTGATTTCGATGTAAATCAATTCACAATCAACAATAAATTCTTTTGTTTCGAATGTCAAAGATTGATCTTTTCGTTTCTATACAAATATGAGAAAATTTACAATATCTCTTTAAATGAATTTAACAATTATTGAAAATATATTAGATATTATTCATATTGATGAATTCTTAAGAAATCTTTGTCGATTGAAAAATCGAAACATCGACAAATATATAAATGTGTATCCCTTATAATGATTGTCAGACTTTTAAAGATTATTGCATTCAAAATTTTGGTAGGACATTTAATTTTGAAATGATGAGCTGACCTTTTAGAGATTCGTAAATTAAGGTTGGATGAACTTTATCGTGCGAAAAATTACCCAAAGTACAAAAGAAAATGATTTCAAATAGAACGAATGAAAGAACAAACATTTCTCGATAAAATAATATATTAATGATTAGTTAACTCTCAATCATTAGTTAACAACATATGCTTTTGTAAGGGATATCGTGTCAATTTAGGGAATCTTGATTTCTATCAAAAAAAAAGATTTGAAAAATGAGTTTGGGCATTTCTGAAATTCTTAATTTTTCAATCATTTTGCATAAAACACTTTTGCTTTTTATTCTAAACAAACAAAAACAAGATAATTTAACTTATGCAATAAACAACACTATAGCAGCAAAAAAAATTGAAAACCATATTCAGAAAGAATACAAAATTCTGATTCTATTCCAATATTTTCAATTTTCTGCAGTCTCATTAAAAGGTTTGAATATGAGTAAACACGCTGTCTAATTATTTTTCGATCACTCGTTAGATAAATCTTAAACATACTAAAAAAAAAATTAATTATATTTACTAGACATATACTAAAGAATACTATTCATAAAATCATCAAATAGTTTTAAAAAAATTATCTAACAAGGTTATCTTAAGTTCAGTTTTTATCACGCGGCAATTATCATTCGTCTTATTTTCTTCAAAAGAGAAAAAAAAGGAAACTTTATGAAATAATTATTCCTTTTATGTCTAAGGATTATTATAAAAAGTACAAGGCTAGAAGCATATATCGTTTTAATCACTGCATATCCTCACCTTGATGGAGTATTGTGCATGTAAAACACACCAATCAGTATGAAGATGTGACTAAAATAAAAATGTACCCAAAGTCATACGTGTCATTAATAAATTAACGTTTGTGATTATTATAATCATCATATGACTTTTATTTATTGATCCAATAGACAATAATAACTTGTATGGAAAAAATATATGTTTAAATAAGAATGATAAAAGCAATTTATGACTTACTAGATAAATATAATATTTTATTAAATATAATAGATAACAATATATGCAAAATCAAAGTTTTATACGAAAACAAAACGTATCGGTATGCACATATTAAATAATCAAGGCATTGACTCTTTTTTTTTGCAGTAAATATAAAGGACATTTTTTTTTGAATGAGAAAATTTTGCACTATGACATCAAAATTAATCCATCTGTTTTTATTCTCACACCCTTTTTTCTAAATCTATAAAAGAAAGAAAATACACAAATATAGTTGTTTCCATTCAATTCAATCAAGACAAAGTAGGCAAGACTTCCAAAATGAAATTTACTCTTATCTTCTTCATGACTTTTTTCACTTTAACTTTTGCGTCATCAGTAGCAACAACAAAATCGTCATCAATTGTCGATTTTATTTGCCAATTATTATATATTTATTTAAATCCAATATTTCAAAGTACACTTAAACAACTAACTCAATTAGTTTTTGAATTTGGTGAAAAAGTTTCACAAAATATTCCATATGAATTAAGTCGTTTAAATAAAATTACACCAGCACCATGGGTTTCGCAATTATTTGGTGAAGTGAATTCAATAGCAGAACAATGGAATAATCAAGTAACACAATTTTTTGCTACTATTCCAACTATATTTGAAAAAAATGGTAGAAGTTTAATGAATTTTTCAACAATAAAAGAAACATTATACAATGCTGTGGAACATGTTCTAGGAGAATTAAAGAAATTATTCCTTGATAATATTAATGAAACGATTATTTCAATTTTTAATAGATTTGATTTAATGGAATTTATTGGCCGTAAACGTGCTATATTTACTATTGAAAATTCATTAAATGTTTTTCAAAAGCAAGTATCCGATATATTTGATAAAACAAAAGAACAATTAAATCATACTATTGATGATGCAATAAATTTTGTTTCAACATTTTGGGATGATGTCAAAGATCGATTTCTTGGTTAAATTTGCGAATATGAATTTATTTTGAATATTGAATCGATTTAAATAAAAATTATCTATCAAAAATATATTGACTTTTATCAATAAATTTTCGATCAGTTTTATCATTGGATTTTATTTAAATGAAATAAGCTGATGCATAGAATGACAAGTTTATTTTGAAGATACAAAATTTTTCAAATATATCATAAAATTTCTTCAGAGTCTTTATTTATGAATTATGATAATTGATAGTTACGTACGTTTTTTAATTTCTTGATACCATACAAATAATTCTTTAGATTTATTGAATTTCTAAAAGTCTTAATTGTATTCTATGTGATCTTCTGTGTTCTTTGTTTTTTTGTTTCGAATTATTTTGAAATGATATTAAAACATAGAATCTATATAGAAGAAATATGGGATTCTTCAATCAAGAGTAAATTTTTTGGCCGCAAAAAACAAGTTTTAAAAATAAAAGTTTTTGGTTTTTTCATGAAAGAAAATGTAGACCATTTGTATGCATAGACAATGAATGTTTTCGATTTCTTTATTAAGTCTATCATTTTACCATTGAACATCATCGACCGTAATAGTAACCTTTCCTAAGATTTGCACCAGATGCTTGACACAGAATTGGTAATAATTTTTAGAATCTTTATCATGATATACAGTGTCAAATTCTTTCCACCATTCATCAAAGCCCATTACTTTATGTAGTTCAGATTTCATGACATGTAGCACGCATTTCATTTGAATCTCGATACTAATCTAGGATTTTCCTAAATTGTAATATGAACGTCATATCTTAAATCACAAAAGTATTCTTTTCTGGGAATGCGAGTTTTTTCACATGTTTTCAATATCGAAAGCACAAAATAGACATTAGAACCAAGCATTGTGTCAGGTTTACTTGTGGTACTAATTTGAAAGCCTATTAGAGCGATACTCGCCACAGTTTCAGAAGATGTTTTCTGAAATTCAAAGCAGATTTTTATGAATATTTATATCGTCCATTTCTATAGTATAGAGACAAATGAGCGTATGTTTAATAGACAATTGTAAATAATTGTCTGACTTCGTATATTGACATGGTTGATTGAAAATGTTATCGTCATTTTGTTTCTGAGTTATTCGAAAACCAAGCAAGAAGTTTTGATGACTCGAATGAGATACTTGTCGAGAACACAATAATCATCATTAAACATACAAACAATAATAAGATGGTACTTATTACTGTCTTGACAATACTTAAATTCTCGAATGTCTTATTTATTGCATATAAAAATAATGACAATAATACAAAGAATAATAAATAAAAACATATGAAACTGAATTAAATTTGAAGTTGTAGTCTATATCATGAACAATTACAATTCCTTATGATGAATCGAATATTTGTTGCATTTAAAATCAAAAAAAAAATTTCTTTTTGTATGTCCATTGTTTAGACTGAATAACAACTCAAATGCAACAAACATCAGAAGCAATACAAGGTAAAAATCATAACATAGATAAATACAAGAGTAAACACAATCTATACGATCCAATCTAATGTATTAAATACAGAAATGGTTGAGTTACTTGAAAGAAACAACAAGGGTATTATATCCCATTCAAAGTTATATTCGTTGATAGTCAATGTAACCCTAAAATGAACAACTTGAACTTCTAGTTAGAATTAATTCCGAGGTTGACGTTTTTCTTCATCAAAGATGGAATGAGATATAGTGGAATTGCTTATCTTAGGATTTTATGCGAAAAATTTATAAAGGAATAAATTAACCTGTTACTCATCGATATCAATCGTAGATTGAATTATGGTTCAACTTGGTAGAATCGGAGTTGGGATGAGACTGAAAGATCAATCAGGAGTTAGAGTTAGATTTTTAAGAAAAAGGAATAGAGTTACTCATAGTTGTCTAGGTGCAAAAAAAAAATAATAATACGTACCAGTCTTAATAGCATTTCCATTATCGTCAATGCAATAATTATATATGGTTATAATTTGTAGGCACTAGAATGACATATTCGTCCCTCAAAAATATATAGAAATGATTTTATTCAGATCTGAAAAATACTTTTTTTTACGTTCACTATTAACTCGTGATTTATCTTATCAATAAATAAATAGAAAGATAGTTAACAAAAGTGTCAATAATCTTGTTAAAATTAAGTTTAAAAAGATGTGAACAAGAGAATAATTTATATTCAAAAGAAAACATACAATATTCAAATATTCATCTATACAATATTTATCAAAAGTTACCTTCAAATCAGTTCTCATTGTTTTTATTCGTTCGTAATCTACGTATGTCTTTATATAAGTTTTTTCTATTCATAATATTCTCATTTACATTAAATCTATTTAGAATATCTATCATTAGTACACATAAGCTCGTTTTTAATGACCAGCTATTGATCCAATACTAGAAGATATGATCTCATTGGCAATAATATGTCAGTGAAAATGCATACAAATTAAAATTCATTCATAATTGACTATTATTATTCAATAGTGATTCATTTACATGATACTAGTCTTAAATCAGATACAATTAAAAGAAAAGAATGAAAGTCGAATTCTTCTAATAGTTTATAACACATGATTTATATGATAAGTATCAAAAACATATCTAAGCCTCATATATTACATATAATAAAATAACAAGCACTTCTAAGTACGAATCAAAGCAAAAAGCAAAGTAAAAAAAAAACAATTTAATCATGCATAACATATCCAACTGTTCGATTTTTATACACTATTTGTTTTTATTTTTATTCATACGTTTCTCAACTATAACACTCAATAACTACTTGTTTTTTTCTTTCTAAACTATTCAAAAGAATCAATTATGAATAGTAAAATATTGTCAAACTTCGATTAAATTTTTTCTTGATAATCAACAAAAACGAGATCGATGGTAGATAAATAAAAAGTTTTATTCTCGTTCAACTATGTACGCAACTTTTCAACACCAAAAAACACAATAAATAAACTATTGCCGAGATTAAAATCAATAATATTCTATTATTTTATATACGAAGAATAAAATTTCTTTCGTAACAAGAAATATACAACATGAGAAAACACCTCAGTCAGTTGAATATATTTCATGCAGTTAAAAAAAAAATTATCGCATGAATAAGCTACGTAATTGTTTTTTTCGACATTCTAATGTTTCAAACACATTAAGCCTATTTATAGTCAGTGAAAAAAACAACATTTGATACTTTTTCATTTGATTCTATTATCATAGGACACGACTCTTTGTTTTTTTCTTTTGTAAGAAAAAAACACATCAATAAGAAGAAGTATGACAATGATGTCAACAAGATTGCAATTCACACAAAAACTTTCTATGACACTTCAGTAATACAAATCATCTATTTTCTTTTATTATTGCTCTAAACAAAAAATAAAAATATTTTTACTATCTTATCTAAAAGAATGGCATATTAACGTTTCAAAAATTATTTTTATCTTTACAGTGTCAGTATCAGATTAAAATCTTTCCTTTAGTTGAGAACATTACTAAATGAAATGATAAGATGATGACATATTTTTTCTTATTATGCAAAATTTTATAGTACACTTTGATCATTAAAAGTAATATAAATTCATTATCATTGACAATAACTTCGAAAATTTGATTGTTTATACAATGTAAGAGGTTATTGGCCAATAAAAATGGTAAAGATTTCTATTCGTGATTTATTGCTGAAACCAAAGATTAATAAGTTGTTTTTGGTTAAGCTCTTTTTTTTTTCTTTTTATCTTAAGGAGTCGCCATGTACTTTTGATGGGTTTCAGATTGGCTGATATCGATGACTAATCAATTTTTTGACCTACATTATCTATTTTCCAATCGACTGCTAGTTTCAACGGATGCTTTGGGGTCTTTTTATCTAATTGTTTCCATGACCTCGAGTTTTGGTCGAGTTTTTTTCGGACTGGTAACAAGAAAGTACACTTGTAAATAGTACACATTAATTCTATAACTTAGTTCTGTCTAAAGCAGATAATACAATTGGAATCTTGACTTGAGAAGTAATCCCAAACATTGATAGGATCCACGACAGTTCTGACAATTTCCGGATCAATTCTTTAATGAGATTTAGACGAATGCTAATATCATCAGAAAAGATCACTTCGTCCCAATGCATAACTTTATAGTCTTCAGTTTATATGAAATGATTTTCTTCGTCGGCTTCAGTTAGCAATGACTTCAACATAAATGGATAGAATTTCACGCCTGCTTCGTTCAAGCACTGTTGTACCATTCTTCCATTTAATAACGACTCGTTTCTTTTTCAGTTAGTTTGTGATGTCTCAACTTGTGACGAACACTTGTTGTTCCACAAGTGAAATACTTTGTTATTTCTGTTTTCGGATCATTGTCTGTAGTCGACTAGATTAAGTTAAATCACTCAAGCCGTTCAATTGTTTCCAATATTTGCATCAATATTTCCTTGTCATTATGTCACGATGAACTAGTTTACGATGAGCTGCATGCATGAATTTCGTACCCAATAAATGTTAAGAAAAAAAAAAAAAAAAAACAATTTCGACACCTGGTATACTGATAAGACTCTATGTCAGAACTAACGATGTCAACATGGAATGAATACTGATTTTGATCAAAACGCAATACGTGCTTGTTATGTATATTAATCTTATGAAAATTAGTGAAGAGTTCTGCTAGGTAGAGAAATTTTTGTCTATAATTGTGAATAACACGAAAATTTTAATTTTCATCATATCTTAAATAAAATACTAATAAGAAAATATTCCTTTTTAACAATGATGCTAGTTTTTTTTGTAAATAATAAAACCAATCGTCAAGAATGTTTAAACATAAATATATTAGTTCTAATAATCTGACGTTATTAAATAATAATAAAAAATGAATAAAATAAAATTCATATAAGTATTCTCAGTTGTGATCATGAATTTATATTGCATTTTAATGTTGAATATAAATTGATGAAGTTCAACTATAATAAGAATTCTTTTGTTTGAA